TACTAACTACTAACTACTAACTACTAACTACTAACTACTAACTACTATCTACTAACTACTAACTACTAGCTACTAGCTACTAGCTACTAGCTACTAGCTACTAGCTACTAGCTACTACCTACTAACTACTAACTACTAACTACTACTACTAACTACTAACTACTAACTACTACCTACTACCTACTACCTACTACCTGCTACCCACTACCCACTACCGACTACCCACTACCGACTACCGACTACCTACTACCTACTACCTACTACCTACCGCTACCGCTACCACTACCACTACTACCACTACCACTACCACTACCACCGCTACTACTACTACTACTACCACGACTACTACTACTACTACTACTACGACTACTACTACTACTACGACGACGACGACGACGACGACTACGACGTATACGTATACGTATACGACTACGACTACGACTACGACTACGACTACGACTACGACTACGACTACCACCACTACACTACCACGACTACGACTACCACGACTACCACGACCACGACCACGACGACGACGACGACTACTACTACCTACTACCTACTACCTCCTCGGCTTCCTTGTTTTCTCGCGCTGGGTTAGGCGAGCTGTGTGCAGTATACTGTGCGCGTGTGTTTTGGCTCAAGGCCTAGTTTTGGCTCAAGAACGAGGGCCAGACCTCAATCGGTGCGACAAAACGAGTCGCCGGGCGCGTTCGGTGGACAGGCGTGGGTTCGGTTGGGGCTCGTCGGATTCGCAGTTGGGGGCTGTTCTGGGAAACGAGCCCAGGACCTGTGAGCAACTGAAGGTGATCCGGCGTGTCTGGTCGGAAGGCCCACCTGTTTATTACAGGTTGAGAATGTGCATGAGAGAGCACTATCTCGCAGCGGCTCGAAACCCGTGGAACGGGATATAGGGATCCTGCGCGCGAAAGCATGATCGTTTAATCCCTTGCCGCAATGGAAGTGTTGCGCGGAAGCCCAAACTGGACCAGCGCCAGTTGAGGCAATCTCGAGCTTGAGAGAGTCCCATGGTGGCTGCCGCAAACGCACCCGCCATGGTGGTATCTTGACGACGCTGCCTGGCTGCTCGCTGGACCCACGCAGCGGCGCGTGAACAGCGCACAAGTACTGTCATCTTTCCCTGGAAAAATGGACGCCTGCTGCCTTGATGACAGCGAGTTGACGGATCGGGGATGTGAAGGGCTGGCCTTGGAACTGGGTTTTGGAAGCCTTGGGAAGCGTTGTCTGGATAACTGGATAACAGTCACATGTCTGTTTCCTTATATCAGACTTTTTGTTTCTTTAAGATAGACCTGTACCCCACTTTTGATAGAGAATGTGTTTTCCACGCCCGGCATTTTGGAGAGAGAGTTTTGACTCGGCCCTTTGCGTTTTGTGGTTCAATCGACGGCATTTTGTAGAGAATGCATTTTGTAGATATTTTTTTCGCGATGCATTGTGTAGAGATCTTCAGTCGAGTGTGGAAGTGGCATTTTGTAGAGAAGTTTTCTCAAACAACTTGATGGCTTTTTTGGAGGTTTTTGGAAGTTTTTGGGTTGTTCGGGTCGGGTCTTCCACAGCATTTTGTAGATAATTTTCTGGAAGCATTTTGTCGAGATTTTCCATGATTTGATAGATTTTGTGATATTTTGGTGCATTTGATTCTATTTGGCCATTGCTATGAGGCTGGAGGCCATTGCTACTAGGCTCCACGCCATTGCTACCATTGCTATGAGGCTGGAGGCAATTTTTCTACAAAATGGCGTTGAGGCCTACATTTTTGTAGACGTTTCCATATCCGAATTTAGATATCATTTTGTAGATTGACTTCTTTCAGAGGCTCCCATTTTGTAGACTGTTCAGCCACAAAAACAAGGCTCATTTTGTAGATGCGAGATCTAGTAGTCAGGTCATGTTTGTAGGGATTTGACAACCGGGAATTGGTTGTGGTGCCAGGGCATTGATGAAAATTGATGGTAGAGCTGTCAATTTGTCCATATCCCCTAGAAATGGGGTTGGCCAGTCATGTCCTAAAACGTTTTATGAGCCTCCTCCTGGAGGACGCCAGGGGTTCATTTTATAGAGAGCTGTGTGTGTGCGTGTGTAAGCATTTTGTGTCACGACATATCACGACGGGCCATAGCTGACACTACCCGTCCAATGAAGAGGGTGTCAGTTTGTGCTGATATGTGCTGATACAGTGGAGGACGCTCCACTGTGTACCTGCGTATACCTGCATTCCTTTAACATCCTTTAGCCAACCAATCGGTGATGCAGAAACAGGTTTTTGTTGACCGTCTTTTCTCTGGGCCGTTTCTCCAGGTTTATCTCAGGCATCAGGAAGTGTGTGTTTGTGTAAGCACTTCCTGCTGAATCATGCTGAATCTGTTGTGTTTTTTTTGCTGGACGTGTTTCTGTGCTGTGTTGGGAAGATAACCCAATCTGGGCTATTGCAGTTGTGTGCAATCGAGTTTAGCGGGCCGTCCAAGAACAGACAAATGTCAGTTCAGAGGCTTTGCATGGGCGCTTACCGATGTCTGGCATTAGGTATTTTCATTCTTTACACCTGACATCGCCTGACAGGCTTCGGGAACACCGTTTTAGATCTATAAAGTGGGGGGTATGACCCCTACCTGGAACGGACAGGAGGATGTATCTTTTATATGTCTGCTTAATGCTAGCATACTTTGGGATACTTGCTGCCCACATATGATAAACATCTACAGTATTCTACAGTAGCAAGATATAGCAAGATTAAGCAAGCAGGTCCAGCAATGTCCAGCATTTGTGAGCTTCCAAGGCACACCAACAGGGCAATTTACAATTGCCCTACGAAAACTGGTTCTGGCACTCTGGCAAGAAGCGGATCCGAGCGACTTGGTGGATGTGATCTGATGTGGTTTCCGGCTTGTTGGAGGGAGTCAATTGACTTTTGAATTGTTGAGATTTCCTTCTCAATGAGATTGTAAGGCTCATGGCAATGGCCCTGGGCAGTGGAAGATATATTTCTGATATTTTGTGATACTTGTAGATACATTTGCATGAACATCAGACTAATGAAAAGATATGAAAAGTACGGAGATTCTTCTTTGTTGAGCAGCTGGAACAGTGCGCCACCCCACCAATTTCTAACCCGCAGCATCCCCCTACCTACATCTAACATCATCTACCCACCACATATCACCACACACACCTCGCTACCCTTCCACACAACCCCAAACATATCAATGTTGGGGTTGGCCAAGTTTTTGTGCATTGACGGCTGTTGCCAGCCTTCGTGTGCCCGCATGTGCCAGTATCAACATAGCATCAGTTGTCTATCTCAGGTGAAGAAGGGCGAGTGGGAGTTTGGGTCCTTCTGGTCAGTCCGCGAAGCGGAGAAAGCGATCCGGGAAGCAGGCGAGGCTAAGACGTTTCTGGTCCCCAGAGATACGGCCAGTCAGGCCATGAAGCGGCCAGCTTCGGGCAGCCAGAAAGGCATCCGGAAGAAGCCTTCTGCTTCTGGTCTGTCTGGTCTGTCTGGTCCGTCTGGTCACTCCATCAGCCAGCAATTGACATTGCTGGATGCTGCTGCTGCGGGGCCGGAGCACAGGCTATGCACAAAACCTGGGTTGGGCTCTCCAGATGCCAGGAATGCTGAAGTTTTTGGTGGCCAGTCCGTGGCCAGCTGTGGTGCATTCAGTAGCCAGAACAATTTGGAAAGACTTCTTTTCATTGGTGAGGTCAGTGCGTTGTCATATGATGTTGAATGATGTTGCAGGGTTTTGTAGTGTTATGTATGGGGGTTTGATCATGTTTGTTCATTTGAGTCGCCTTTGGCCGTGTTTTGGTGCATTGAGGTCAAACAGGTGTTGACGGCAGCTGGGGACGTTCAGGGCAGCAACCTGGTCCATTTGCAGGGGCTGGCAAAGGCGAATTCTGTTCTGAACAATGACGGTCAGCTTTTGAGTTTATTGTAGCTTATTATGTTTTTAGTTGTTGGGAGGTTTGCAGGAAATCTTGCACATTGGAAAGAAAAGAACCCAGAGCCTAGAGTAGGTCGGCACACAGTTGGGCGAAACATCTTATATGCTCTCATGCAGCATTTATTTCGAGGCGGCGCATTTCCCATCTACTCCCATCTCATCCCCTCCTAGATAATCGTAGATACGCAATACTTAGATATGCTTAGATCATCTTGGATAATCTTAGAATATCTTAGATATACCTACCGATCTCTAGATCCACCTAGGACCTCAGGCCTTCACTGGCTCAAATCAATTTCGAGACCATCTGGACTGGCAAGCCTGGCAGAAGCAGAGAAGAAGGTTAGGTCAAGTGCTTTGCTGTTTGCTAAAAATGCCAGTGTACAGTGATTGTGGATGTCATACTGCTCCGCCCCCCCAAAAAGCAGGTGCAAGCCACAGTTCTTGCTCTTCTTCAGTGCTCGGACCGTCGTTGCCCTTCCAGTGAGACTGACAAGGCCTCGGCCCTGTCCGTGGATATAATGGCCCTGGACAGCTCATGACAGTTTTGGAGGACACCGTATGTTATCAGAATTTACTGGAATCCATTGTCTCATAATGTCCAATATTGTCTCCATGCTTTAATTGTTTTGACATGTTTTGACAGGTTTTAAAGATGCGTGAATCCAAAGTTATCCAATGCAAGGCTACATTGCCCCAACTCAAGGTTTGTTATTTTTGATATTTTTTTACACTGCATTGGGATGCGTTGGGATGCGTTGGGCACTCCATGGCACTCCTATCATGATTGACCGGCAGTCCAAGATGCTGAGCCTGCAGTCAAATTGTTGTCAAGTGTCATCAACCCCGGTATGACATTTTGGGACACCATGGTCTTCTAGTTTTTTGGCATGTTTTTTGGGTGCGTGTCAGCAGTCATCGGATGTCATCGGCGCCTGTCCGTGCCCATCGTGCACATTCGTGCACAGGCTTTGCAGGCAGTCCTCTCTAGTGTGGAGGGCACGCTGCTCCTTGTGGAGACTGAGGATAAGCTGAGCTTCTTTGGGGGCTACAATGCCTTAAATTTTGGGGTGCACAGGCTGCAGGCTTTGGACTTGCTAGGTCTTCCGTCAGAGTCCCTTTCCATCGGCCCATCCAGCTTTCAATACCTGGCAAAGAAGACCGGGGTTGACATTTGGCTTCTATGAGGAAGAACGGTGGGCGGACTTGTATGGTTATAATATGTTATGACTTGTTATGTGTTGTTACGCAACATTATGTGTATGTATATATATATATATATTTCAGTTTTTAGGATGTTTTTTTTGGAATTAGGCTATTGTATGGCCCTATATGGCCACAACATGCCCTTCGATTGCAAAGTGAGAACTGGAGAGCCAGACATAGGCACACATCGAAACAATTCGAAACATATCGAAGCCAGTATAGTGCACATTAGGGCACATTAGTGCAGAAGGTGCAATTTCCTCCCATCTTCTCATGTTGTCTCCAATCAAGGATTTTTCCCATTTTGGGATCAAGTCGGCAGAGGACCTCATGGCCTTGTGCGACCAGCTCAGACTCGGGCAGTCTGATGCTAGCAGGGAAGAGGCCACAAGGCTTGGGCTTAGGTCGGCGGCAATCCGTTGGTGGATGGTCATGATTGGGCTCTGTGAAGTGCAATGTGTGGTCAGTCACTATGGCGTGACCAGTCTGGAGCCCCTAGCCCGCCTCTTCAAGAGAAAGCCCGTGGCTTTTTCGGGGGGGAGCAGGGAAGTCCTGGGTCAGCCTGTTGCTGTTGCACAGCTCCAGGAATTACCGGCAGCCATGTGGAAGGAAGCCGCTGCCATATGGCCAGCCCCAGCACCGTGGCAAAGGCTCTCTTGGAGTCTGGACTGATCACCAAGATTAGCTGGCCGCTCACGGCAGACTTGGCTGCTGCTATGGTGGTTGTCTGGGACAGTCTGTGGCTTGGCCATCTCGCCCAACATTGACCAAAAGCAAGACTTCGAAGTTTTAAGGGAATCCCATGCTCAGGGTAATGAGCAGGTCATCTTTTGGAAATGTATTTGTGTGTATTTTGTGTGTTGGGGGTCCAGCCAAATGGGGTGCGGCATGCTGGGGCCGCTTTACTGCACCGATTCATGCACCATACCAATGTTTGGTTTAGGCCTCATATGGTCTCATATGGGGAACCCTTGCTCAGGAAAGCTGCCAACCTTCAGCGCGCAGCTGTCGGGCAGTCTTCTGCGGCCAGGGCAAGAGCCTGCCCTGATAGCAGAGGGAGAAGTTCTCCGCTGTGGGCGGAGTTGCAGTGTTCTCTCCAAGCCACAGGTCCTGCTGCCGATGGAGCATAGTAGAATGTATCGCGGAAAAGAAATCAGACGGGGACTATAGGGGAGGTTGGGTCCATAGGCCTGAGTAGCCATGTAGTAGAGATTGTGTAGGGATGTGTAGAGTGAGGTGGTCATCAGACTTAGCGAACTACCGAACTGAAGGTATCTGAAGGTATTCAAGAAGTTATAGCCATTCCGTTTTTCAGGCAGCCCTCTAAACTTGGACGGCCCGCTAAACTCGATTGCGCACAACTGCAATAGCCCAGATTGGGTTATCTTCCCAACACAGCACAGAAACACGCCCAGCAAAAAACACAACAGATTCAGCATGATTCAGCAGGAAGTGCTTACACAAACACACACTTCGAATGGGGCTCAGGATGAGCATTCTTCCTGATGCCTGAGATAAACCTGGAGAAACGGCCCAGAGAAAAGACGGTCAACAAAAACCTGTTTCTGCATCACCGATTGGTTGGCTAAAGGACGTTAAAGGAATGCAGGTATATGCAGGTACACAGTGGAGCGTCCTCCACTGTATCAGCACATATCAGCACAATCTGACACCCTCTTCATTGGACGGGTAGTGTCAGCTATGGCCCGTCGTGATATGTCGTGACACAAAATGCTTACACACACACACACGCACAGCTCTCTATAAAATGAACGCCTGACGTCCTCCAGGAGGAGGCTCATAAAACGTTTTAGGACATGACTGGCCAACCCCATTTCAGCTCTACCATCAATTTTCATCAATGCCCTGCCACCACAACCAATTCCCGGTTGTCCTTAGAGATTCATTCAGCCCAAAAAGGACTAGGGTCATTTTGTAGACAAGATGTAGTTTGATTTTGGCTTCATTTTGTAGAGCGTCATTTTGACAAGAGCTGCAGAGTCATGTGGGTACAACACAGGTCATTTTGTAGACAAGTTTCATAAAAGCTGTCCACAAAAATGACGTTGAGGCCCTCATTTTGTAGACAAATCAAATTTCATGAAAATGCAAATTCTCTACAAAATGACGTGGAGGCTTGTCATTTCGTAGAGAGGGCGCGCCCTGATTGTGGAGGTCATTTTGTAGAGGGTGTCATGTTGTAGAGGCTTGACACGGTGTTTTCTTCAAAACGAGGGCCTCTCATTTTGCGCCGCGCTAGCGGGCCTATTGCTGAAGGTTTCTTGAGAGAAACAAGGACTGTGGTTTGAAGCCTGAACGCTTGGTGCATATCAGTTGACGAGGCCTTCACGGCTAGGATAGTCGCATTCATAGGCATCTTCAACAAGTAGTTTGCTAGCCACTAGCCAGCTGTCTCATTCCAGTTGAACCGGCCCACCTTCAAGCCACATGTTGAAGCGTGCCCACAACTGCATTGACCAGTCGAGTGTTGCGCGCTGTCTTGTCGTGTGCGCGCTGCGCCGGCTGCGCGCGCCTTCAACCTTGCCACTCAACGCCGCTGCCACAAGGATAAATCAATTCAGTGTGGGTGGCTGCCATGCCAAAGCGCCCAGCGGAGGCCGCTAGGCCCCACGAGGACGGCCAAGCGGCAAACCAGCCATCCAGCTCAACCACGGCGTGCGGCGCATGACTGGCCTTGGTTCCGGGCTGTGACCAGTTCCGAGCCAGACTTATAACGATGCCGTGGCCGGCGCGCGTCTACGACCATTGTGTTAAGAACGACGCACTTGGAAAGACAACTGGACAGATAGACAAGTAGTGGTGGCTGTAGACAATGATGCGCTTGGAAAATAAGCACGAACACAGGCTCATGAGGCGTGAGAGCGCGCATGTCATCATTGGTGCTCAGTCAACTTTTTGTTTTCCAGTGGGTGTGGCCTTGACAAGAATGGGGAGCTGTCCATTTCACTACTACTACTACTACTACTGCTACTACTGCTACTACTACCGCTACTACTACTGCTACTACTACTGCTACTCCTACTACTACTACTACTACTCCCACTGCTGCTACTACTACTACTTGTTGCTGCTGCTGCTGCTGCTACTACTACTACTGCTACTGCTACTGCTACTGCCACGACTACGACTACGACTACGACCACCATCACCACCACAACAAGGTTTTGGGTAAGGCCTTCCGTTTTAGATCTAAAATTTTTTATACCCTTTTGCCAGTTACTCACAAGATATCTCCGACTTACAACAAAAACGTTTCAAAGAGCAGGATACATAGTCTGACAAACCTCCCCGGTCACCAACTCAAGCGGCTGCAAGGTTGGACTTGAAAGGGCATGTGGCGCCAAGAACTTAGAGAGCTCACAGCGTTTCACAGGCAAGGGACGCTGAAGGCGTCCAAAGTGCACTTGTTTGGTCCATTCTTCGATTGGTGTGGTCTAGTCTTAGATGTTGCAATTTGGGCCATGTATCTAATCCAAAATCAGCAAATACAATCTGATTGCCTTTAGAAAGTCGAACATGATACAGGTTGTTTTCCTTTCCATACTTGGTTGGCATCATTGATCGTCGTTTCTTCACCTGCGTGAATTTGAAACGTAACGTCCTGCAGCGTACTGTGCCGTTCGGGTCAGCCCTGAGGACGCACCCACGGCTTGGTCTTGTCGACCATGTTGCTTGCAACCCGTTGGGTGCTGCAACCTGCGCTGAGGCTTCAGATTTGTTTTCCCTGTCCCTTTCAATTCCAGTCTGTCCGCTTCAATTCCTAAGAGCAATGGCCTCCAACCTAATAATCCTGATAGCGAGGCTTGAGAGGCTTGAGGTAGTACATTCAGGACATCAGCAAGGAGAAACTAGTGGCGGATACTCTCAACCATCACCTGCCGTAGCTGCAGCAAGAGGTCAAATTTTGCAAAGTTGACGCCAAACAGTTTCAATTTAGGTTTTTTTGCATGCCGCCTTGGTAGACTGTACATACCAAAATCGGAGAGGCAAACCGTTTGCTTTTGCGACTATCAAGTCTCATAAGTCTCGTTACATACATAAAACATGAAAGACACACACAAAACAAGAAGCTTCTCGGTGTGCACAAACAATGAATTACGCAAATATATAGTGACTATATGGCGCCGCCTTGGGCCGCCCTGTGCCAAAGCAGTGATGAATGTACCGCACTCAGTCCGCTCGAGTCCTAAAGGTGCACTTTCAATCTGAGAAGTCCTGAAGGATTTCTTGAAATTAGTGACGTATTTCTTGAAGTGCAATACCACTTGCACTTCCTAAATCTCAAAGTTGGCTTTGCAGGTTTCATTGCAAGAGCTCAAAGATTGGTTCTGGGCGCAGGAGCCCCCCAACCAAGTGTGAGGCAACATGCAGCCTTTGCATTTCTAAAGACCATCAGTGCAACTCAGTAGCAGGATCTGGGAGCATCGGTTAATGACGTGAATCAAACAGTAGGACTATCACCTACTAAATTGCACAGAGGCCAAGCGGTGTTGCTCTTGTGTCAGGATGGGTTTGCCGATGAGGCCATTGCATTTGCCGAGCAGTACGCAGATTTCTTCCAGGAACGGAAAGACATTGCTACACGATTGGACGGCATCTGCAAGAGGTGTTATCGTATTTGCCAAAGCAACTCTTCGAGGCCGCCAAACAATACTTTGAAGAAGGTGGGGAAGAGCATCCTTTGGACTCTTGGCAACTCTGGTTTGACAGACTATATTAGACCTTATGTTCTTTTCTCTTTTCTTTGTTTCTAATAACGATGGCCTTGCAGGCAGCTGAGCTGGCTGCACGAATTGGAAAAACACCTTGGTCAATCAATTTCTTAGGATTGGACAGAGCTGCACAAGCTTTTCGTAGCAGAATTTCAAGGGCGATTGGAGGCGGAGTGCAACTGAAGCAACGAACGACTTTAGTTGGACGAGTTCAATTGAATTCAGTTCAAAGACACCCTAGTAGGTTGGAGACTCACAGACATTCAGAGACGAGGCCTTTCTGGCTTCCAGAGGCGCTGACCTCGAGGTAAGATGCTCAGGTCAAGTCTTGTGTCAAGATGCTTGTATCAAGCGTGTATATATATATATATGTGTGTGTTGTGTGCCCCAGCTTTGCTTCAAACAGGGCTTTCGTGCTGCCCTGGAGTCAGCGGAGGATAGGGATGAGCAGGCAGAAGTGTATCCTACTTTGGAGTCAAGACATTTCGGTTCAACATATCATTTTTATGTTTATGTTTTTTGAATAGACCTTTTGGCCTTCATTTTTTATTCTTTATTGTTTTGTAATTAGATTGGAATGTTTAGTAGAAGCAACAATGCACTGAAAGAGGCCAATGTCATGCTGGAGCTCATGCTCAGCATCTCTGACTACCAGCCCTGGCTGAAGTCCATGCTGGCGCTGGCAGATGATGTTCGAATGCGGGTCCACACCTCAATATGTAGCAGGTGGAAATTGAGAAAAGAGGAGGTTTTTCAAGAGTATCAGCACTGCGCTCAAAAAGCCCTACTCAAAAAAATAGATACACGTACACTTTTAAGGTTGGAGATGTGTTTTTAAGTCCTTTGAACTCCAACCACACTCAAACCACAGGGATGTTAAACATGAAGGCATGTCGATTTCTTTCTTCTGTTTGCTTATTCTTTTTCCTGCTTGTTTGTTTTCTTCTTGTTGTGCATTATTATCCTTCTTCTTCTTCTTCTTCTTTGTTTTTCCTTTTCCTTGTCTTGCTTCTTCTTCCTTTTTCTGCTCTCTGCTTGTCCCTTCTTTTTCCTGACTGGTTATCTTGTTATTAAAGAAACCTAGCGCCAACCTAGCGCTGCCTTGCTGTATCACCGTAGTCTGCTGGGGGCCTGTTTCTTGCGATGAGTGCACCATTTCGGGAAAAGACATTTGGACACTCATATTTCCCCAAACCGTTTACTGTTGGGGTTCTATCTTAGAAAAAAAGAGCTGGCCACACTCACTGGCCGCGCCCTGAACTCTGTGGCTGGGCTGTGTGTCCAGGCCTTGTCCTCCTCTTGTCCTTTGTGGCTGGGCTCTGTGGCTGGGCCTTGTCCTCTGTGGCCTGGCTCTGTGTCCGTGTCTTGTCCTCCTCTTGTCCTTGTCTTGGCCGCGCCCCTGAACTCTGTGGCTGGTCTCTGTGGCCCGGTTTACTGGAGAGGAGTTTGGCCGAACAAATAGCGATGTCAATGCCGACAAAAATCCATTGATGAAGCAGTTTGCTCTTGGGGTGAAGGTAATTAAGGCGTACCAAGAAATCGTTTTTTGATTAATATTGGTCTAAGCGAATCGTTTTGAAGCTGCTTGGGGTCTATGCTGGTATATTTTTATATATTGTGCGAGCATTCTGAGTTCTGAACCTTGTTTAACGATTCGCGTGGAACACTAAGGCAAGCGTCGTGGAACGCTCCGACGCTCCTGACCCAGGTCGCGATTTTTGCCAACAGCCAAAATCCAAAGCAACTTCACAATGCATTCCAGCTGGTAGCACTCTCATGGCAGGTCATGAACTTGAAGCTGAAAGTGTAGATGACCTGGATGCCTTTGCAGCCTTTAGATGAAAAGACCATGACAACCGCGGTATGTTGAGAGACAATGCAGCACCATGCTTTCCAGCATTTTGTATTCGGTCTAGCATAGCAGCATGGTTCTGGAACACCTTGTGACTGAACTCAGTCGCAACCTAATCACACACTATATTAGACCTTATGTTCTTTTATTTTTTTGGCCTTCACCCTTGTAGGGATGGCCTCCAACCTAATAGCAATGGCCTTGCAGGCAGCTGAGCTGGCTGCCCGAATTGGAAAACACCTTGGAGAGGGTGATGGATGCCGGGTGGCAGTGAGGGGCTTGGAGCTCGGAGCATCGCACAAAAATCAATGTTGCTGTTCATAGCGGTCGCCCTTCTAGGGATTCTTGTATCTTCTTGTCCATTGTTGCTGTTCTTGATCTTATCACTTGCGGCAAGTATCTTGTTTTGCTTGTATTTTGCCTCGAGGATCACCTGTTGTTCTTGAAATATGTTTGAAGTCACTTGGCATTTGTTTGAAGTCAAAGAGCTTCGCGGAGTTTAGGTGCCCGTTTTCTTCTATGGGGCGGCGCGTGAGGATTCAATCCCGGTCTGCATTTTGTTCTTTTTCTATCCAGTCCATGATACTTTTTGCAGGACTTCAGGCCTTTGGCTGAACTACGAAGGAGCTTAGGGTACGGAGACCCAAGCAGCTCATGGAAATTGGAGACCAATCTAGTAGCGATGGCCTCCACCCTAGTAGTGATGGCCTCCAGCCTAGT